CCATTGGCTCCGAGCGCCACTCGCTGCCTCCTCCGCACGCCCGCCCGCCCGCAGGGCTCCCGTCCCCGCGCCGTGCGGCTCCACGCACAACTTGAGCGCGTCTCGCGCCGCGGCCGCGCGCCTGCCCCTCTGCGCAGGGCGAGCGGTACCAGGAGATCGGGGAAGAAGTAAAGCTGGCGGGAATGATGGGGGTGTATTTAACAATTCAAGCACTGGATCAAACTTAAAGACGGTTTCTTACTCGATACCCTGGAAAGGTCACCTTGCCTTGCTGGAGAAGGCACAAACTCTCGGCTCTGCTGCTCTAGGTTTACCGGCTGCTCCTCGTGTTCCAGAGTGCTCGGAGCTAGTTAGGCTATCTGGCTGTACAGACAAGTATCCTCATGGTAGATGAGAAGGGAAAGAACATGAAATGTCTCACCTTCTTCTTGATGCTTCCAGAGACGGTCAAGAACAGATCCAAGAAGAGCTCTAAGAAGGGGAATAGCAGCAGCAGCAGCAGCAAATTGCCTCCAGTTTGCTATGAGATCATTACCTTGAAGACCAAAAAGAAGAAGAAGATGGCTGCTGATATTTTTCCCCGAAAGAAGCCGGCCAACACGAATACAACTGCTGTCCAGCAGTACCACCAGCAAAACCTCAATAACAACAACACCATCCCAGCACCTAACTGGCAAGGACTTTATCCAACCATCAGGGAGAGGTAAGGTCAGGACAGTTTGTTTTTGCTGTTTAAAGAGAGATGTGGAAAGTGTCAAAATGTTTGTTGTGCTTACATTAGTTTTTAATTTATATGCCAAATAAAAGACAGTGCTTTTATTTTTTCATTAAGCAAATGTTTCAGTAATGGAAAACATTTAATGTCTGTTTTTCTAGACAGTGCAGCTGTTTGTCTTGAGTAAATAAAAATGTTACTGCAAGCTGTAGCATACCAGCAAAGATTTGCCGTTAGCTTCCAGTGAAGGTTTTTGGTGATACATGCAGTTGTTTTTGATTTTCAGTTTCTGAAAAGTTTTCATTTTTTTAAATATTATTATTCCCCCAACCTTGCTTTTTTGTTTGTTTGTTTTCTTCCCCTGTGTATTTGTGTGGTGATGTGTAAAGTAGTTTAAAACAACGTGTGACCTGCCTTCCTTTCTGCCAACATGCCACTTATTGGCATTTGGGAGTTCAATCTTGGGGTATGGGGCAAGCATGGGATTACTGGGCACCCTAAGTTACCTCGTTGCCTCTGCTTGTAGGAATGCGGTGATGTTCAACAACGACTTGATGGCAGATGTTCATTTTGTGGTGGGGCCACCAGGCGCGACCCAGCGGCTGCCAGGACACAAAGTAAGAAACAGCTGCCTCTGCAGGGGGGGTGGCCGGGAGCTCCTACCCGGGCAGACCTACGCTGTGTTGTAAGCAGTTACGTCCCGTGAAACACTCTGTCCTTTACCCTTCTTTGTATTTCCAGTTAAATATTGCATTTGGCACAATGGGATACTCATTGTAAAGCTAAGCATACCGCTTGCCTGGTTGGTTAATACTAGTCTTAAAGTTCCACTAGAAATAAGGAACTTCTGTAAAAGATGCTGGCTTTTCCCAGTAGCTAGTGCATGTATGCCCAAGAGGGGTAAGTGCAAAGAAAATATATGCTGTCTTGTTCCTAAGTTTGACTTTCTCATGCAAGTGTGTCAGTTGGTGAAGCCCGTACATTCAGAGCGGCTCTCCCACGTTTTTATTGGCAGTGCTTTCAATTTAAACCATGAAATAAGATTTCCCTCTCTCGACAGTATGTCCTCGCTGTTGGGAGCTCTGTGTTCCATGCAATGTTTTACGGAGAGCTTGCTGAGGACAAAGATGAGATCCGTATACCAGATGTTGAGCCTGCTGCTTTTCTCGCTATGCTGAAGTAAGCATCATTCATCTGCTAGATATGTATTTCTTTATGATGTGTACACTGGTAATTACACTGGTAATGTCACAGTTAAAGTATTAGATGAGTATATGCAGACAGGAAGGAGCTGTTTAAAAATGTATTTCCTTTTGTGTTTCAAGTATTTCCAACTTTTATTTTTGCCTCATTTTGGGCTCCCCTTCTACTCTGAGGCACACATATAAGCTAATGTAGGCAGTTATAAATAATGACTTTGACAGGGGATCTTTGGGCACATTGTATGCTGTAATGCCTATTGATTTGATATGTCACTACACATGTTACACAAAGGAATGGAGGTGCTAAAAAGAATTGTCAGCTGTAACAAAAAAAAACTGCTCTACTTTGCAAGCACAGTGAAAAGTTTAAAAAAAAAAAACAGAATGGCTGAGTTTGTATTTGGACGTAGTTCTAGCTCTTTTGTAAACTTACTGTATGTAGAACTTAGAAAACAATCCTAAATTCTTGAATAGAGACTCTGAAAGTTAAATTTCTGCTCATATATCATCTTGATGTGTTTGCAAAGTGATAAAGATTGAGGTTTTATTTGACTAATGGGAAGAAAGACACTTTACATAATCATTATTTTTCTGTGTATTCTCTTTCTTCCCACAGCCTGAATAAGAACTGCTCTCTTTTTTTTTTTTTTTTCCTAAGCAAACTCAGTGAAACAGTTTCCCAGCTGAATTACCCTTGAATGTATCTAGAAACTCCAATTTTTAAAATGAAATTCCCTGTCATGGGAGAGCTGTGGCTTTTGAGATTTTATTCTCTTCAGCTTTAGCAACCATCATTGCATTCAACATATACGTCAGTAGTGATAGTAACCTTCTAATGTGCTGCATGTTTTATTCCTTGTGGTGCTGTAATCCCTAGTTTACAACTTAATGTACTTCATAGGCTGCTTTGACTAGCTCGTGACTGGAATGCTTTTTTTTTTTCTTGTGTGTTTCAGTGCCTCTGTAGATGAATGTTCAAAGTTGCACATGGATTTTGTTGCTCAGAGTTTTTAGAGGTTATTGGGAGCATCAGAAATGCTTTGGACAGTAGCTGCCAGGAAAGCTGAACTGGCACTGCTGTTGTATGGGTCTGGAATCTAAAGTTAAGATACGGTATTGGGTACATAGATGCAGTACAAATCCCCGTTTGGGCCTTTCTGCTTTTGCAGGTGCTTTTTGCACTGCTCTTTTTCCAGACCATGGAATTCTTTATCCGTTGAGCTTTTATTTGAAAAAGCAAAAAGCCGCCAACTTTTTGTCTCTGTGGCTGCCGAGATAACCTTCCCGGTGCTGCAGAGTGCGCGGGTGCCTGTGGATGGCAGGGCTGCCTGCAGCAGCGGGGAGGGATGCAGTGCAGCATTCCCTTCATCCCGGTGCATGTGCTGCACTGGGTGGAGCTTGTGGGGGAGCTGCAGCCCCATCCCTGCTCCCACCCGCAGCAAATCCTCCCCTCTGCTCCTTGCAGCGGCTGCGGCCGCTGGGAAGGAGAAGGCTGGGAACACAGAGGCTGAAGAGGAGAAGGCTTGGACCTATCCCAAAGTCGTCCTCCTCTTTGGGGAGTCTTCTGCATAGTCAGGAGAGGTGCAGCATAATCTGCATAAGAAATGCATTCATTTTTGTTGTTGGACGATGAATTTTTGTACTATTAAATATTATTTGTCTTCAGCTGCGTGGTGGGCATACCGATGACAAATATGAGTCTCGAAGTATTGCTACATGTAACATTTAATATAAACACTGATTATTCCTCCTGTAAAAATTGATTTGGCTGTTCCCTATAGTTTTAAAAATAGGGTTGGAGGTTGTTGAATTCATGCTCTGATGCACTGAATTCTTATCTTTATAGTATTATATCTTGTCTTAATCTTGATTGTTAACATTAGAACCGTGATTCCATTTTAATCGGGGATGGAATGTGTCAGCAAATCTTATGTTTTGGCTACTGAAAAGGTTGAAAATGGAATGTTGGCAGTTGTAGTCCAGGATCAAGGTGCATGGGCAGAATGAGAAGTGAGGAATATTGCAGACAGCCAATCTGTGCTATCTATGTCTGTTGTCGGTGATGTTAGTTCTTCACTTTCACAAACGTTAACAACTATTGTACTGTTTAAATTTAAAACAGGCATCATCACTTTCTGCTTTGTCAGCAGGCAAAGAGAAGTAATGAAAGGGAGAAGAGAGTTGGAATCATAAAAACACTTTGGGGACTGTAAAGAAGCTAAGCCTGTAACCTGTGGTCTGTACGTGTCATCTTTGTTGGTAGAAATAGCCCAGCTGAAACCAAGTAGGAAAGGCAGGAAGAGCTGGGCCTGTGTTAGCATTCTTCCTCTCGGTAACCACGTACATTTCAATACACTGCTTAGGCAGGATCTGCTCTCAGCCTGTTTTCAAAATACGACTTGGAAAAGAGCATTCTTGCAAGTTTGTTTTAACCGCACATCCAATTTTACCAGAATTTATTTTACCCTAGAAATTATAACTACTCTTTAGTATTTTCCTCATTGCTGTCATTTTCGTCACAAACCAGAAATCAGTCATGATGAATGCAGGTCAGAATATCAGTTAGTTACACTCTATCTGCAAAAATATAAATGAAGATATATTAAAATACAATAAGATCAGTGAAAGTACTAATTCTCTTTCATAGAGTTTATTCAGCTTTGTGAAAAAAACTTGTGTTGGCAAACTTGCTAACTGGAACATTTTAATTAGTACTGGGTTTCATTTAACTTCAGTTTTACTGGAGAAAGTCGCAGTGATCAGCCATAACCATCAAGACTTCTTTATTCATCTGAAGAGTAAAATTGTGTCTAATAGGGTTTTACCACACTGCATTTACCAGCTGCAAATGGGGCCCTGAAGCATGAGATATTAAAAAAACAAACTCTACATTTCTTCATTTCCCTGTGAGCAATGAATCTCAGCAGTTTAGTGACATAAATAGAATTTAACTTTCATCTCTTCTACCACACTAGCCTAGCAGTAAAGCCTGTTTTTCCCCCTATGCACTGAGACTGTGAATAAATGCTGTGTTATCAGAGCTGGGATGTTGTAAGCGTTGATAGAGACACAGAATTCTTATTTTCAGGTTTGCTTTTCCTGTGGGTTTCCTCGTCCTGTAACAAAACCATGTAGTCATAAAATATGAAGGTGGGCAGCAGCTGATGTGCTTGAGTAGCATTTCACTTCTGACAGCCTGGTTAGCTGTGTCAGTAAATCATGAAAATTCAGCACCATGGGACATCCAGTCCTCGTCCCCTTTGCAACACGTGTGCCAGACTGCGTCGTGTTGCCGTATGCGCCAGCCATGCAGGAGGTATCTTCTGGGGAGGGTGTCCTCTGCGTAGTCAGTCCACAGTGTGGAATTAAAACACAGCTGGAGGGGGCTGTAGTTTGGGGATGTAACTAGCACCTATGCAACAGGAGCCTAAAATGTAAAAGCATGCCTTAGATGTAACCTGTTGACTTCCGTGGGCTTGTGTCAATGGTGAATTTGTCTTGCACCTTCTTTATGAATTCAAGGGATGTTCTCCAAAGGCATGGCTTAGTTCTGGTGCAGACTCATTTAGGAGTTCTCTGTTTCCGATTTTCAGATGTTGTTGACAAATGATGCTTTGGACATTCAGCAGTGGTGTTACACGCGTGTGTTTTCTTTCAGATACATATACTGTGATGAGATCGACTTGGCGGCAGACACCGTGCTGGCCACGCTCTACGCTGCAAAGAAGTACATCGTCCCTCACCTCGCCCGCGCCTGCGTCAACTTCCTCGAGACGAGCCTGAGCGCCAAGAACGCCTGCGTGCTGCTTTCCCAGAGCTGCTTGTTTGAGGAGCCCGACCTGACCCAGCGCTGCTGGGAAGTGATTGATGCCCAAGCCGAGCTGGCTTTGAAATCCGAGGGATTCTGCGACATCGATTTCCAGACGCTCGAAAGCATCCTCCGAAGGGAGACTCTGAATGCCAAAGAAATCGTCGTTTTCGAAGCAGCTCTGAACTGGGCCGAAGTCGAGTGCCAGCGGCAAGAGCTGACGGCCACCATCGAGAACAAGCGCAAGGTGCTCGGGAAGGCGCTCTACCTGATCCGCATCCCCGCCATGGCGCTCGACGACTTCGCCAACGGCGCCGCGCAGTCGGGCATTCTGACCCTCAACGAGACCAACGACATCTTCCTGTGGTACACGGCGGCCAAGAAGCCGGAGCTGCAGTTCGTGAGCAAGCCCCGGAAGGGCCTCGTTCCGCAGCGATGCCACCGCTTCCAGTCCTGCGCCTACCGCAGCAACCAGTGGCGCTACCGGGGCCGATGCGACAGCATTCAGTTTGCTGTTGACAAGAGGGTGTTCATCGCTGGCTTCGGCCTGTACGGCTCCAGCTGCGGCTCGGCAGAGTACAGCGCCAAGATCGAACTCAAGCGGCAAGGAGTTATACTAGGCCAGAACCTGAGTAAATATTTCTCGGATGGTTCTAGTAACACTTTCCCCGTGTGGTTTGAATACCCGGTGCAGATTGAGCCTGACACCTTTTACACAGCTAGCGTGATTCTGGACGGCAACGAACTAAGTTATTTCGGACAAGAAGGAATGACAGAAGTTCAGTGCGGGAAAGTGACGGTTCAGTTTCAGTGCTCCTCAGACAGTACCAATGGCACTGGCGTGCAGGGCGGGCAGATTCCCGAGCTCATATTTTATGCTTGAGCAAAACTGTGTGGAGAAGCAGCTTTTGGCGACGAGGAACCTGTCTGGTTCAGACCTCCCGATGCTTAGCTCTTTATCTGCAGATATGTGGTCAGTACAGGTAATATATAACTAAACGCTGTGGACAAGTTACTGGCTTGCTGTACTTGTAGCAGTGTTGGTGATAAAGTTTAAGTGTAATATTTAACTCTAAACTGGAACTCCTTGGAACAGGCAAGTTTTAAAGCTTTTCTAAGAAGCGTGTTCCTGTATGGCCGTGATGCCGACCCTTCCTTTGCCGATGCAATGGTCAGATGATGCCTCCACCTCGTATGTCACGGGTTCTAGGGCTCCTTACACCAAACATTGTTTTCAGTGATCAGTTTTTCTTCATTCCTTGCTCTCTGTCAGTATTTTAGTGAGAGAGGGGAAGAATGTGGAGAGCCTGGTTTTACGGCTCTCTTCTGTCTGCTCTTCAGACTTAAGAGATTCTAACAAACTGGATGATTTTTTATCCTGGCAGCTGAAAGAAGCACCTCAGCAGTAAGTAGAAAAAAATGCAGGCTATGCCTGCATCAAGCAAGATTCTCCCATGGCCAGCTGTTTGGGATAGCTGCAGGAGGAGAGGGAGAGAAGCAAGCAGCTTCCCAGGAGCTACACAGCTTGCTGACCCCAGTGCATGGACTTGCAGTGAAGGATCTGGGCTTGGCTGCCTTCCCGCAGAGTTCACATTCTAGAAATTCCACCTGGAAGGCAGGGATGTCCGTGCATGTGCACCAATTATGTAAGAAGCTTTTAAACTTTTACTCCCATGACCTAATATTGCTGTATTTAGTTTGAATTACTATTTAAATCCAATACAGGATAGCTTTTTTGTTTTTGTTTCCTTCTGGGTCTTTTTTTTTCTTCCTCCAAAGCATTTTAAAGGCAGATCATAGAGAAGCAAAAGAATGTACTGACTTGGACTTTCTTTTCTGTACAAAGAAATGTCTTCTTTTTATTGCTATACATAATCAGTGGGAAGTTAGACAAAGGTGAGAAAATCCCCAGCTATGGTCACATCTGATGACATGCACTGCACACAGTAATAGTGAGGAGCAGAGAGCCTTCTCTAATATGTTGATGTTGAATCTCTTGCCTGTGGCTAAATGTCGGTCGGAGGACCGTGTCACAAGACCTTTTTCTTACCTGAATTCTTATTCAAGCTTCATGTCATATGTCTGTATCATTTTTGGAAAAGTATTGTGGAATCATGGCTTTCTATCAGGGAAGGATTCAGTATAAATACGAGATACAGGTACTATTCAAACGTGAGGAGATTCTCCACCTTTGCACTGTGAGGGTTGCTCCTAAAAGGGCCACGGGCTGTTGCAGAGCGTCACGTTCCTCTGCATCCCCGAAGTGGGGTCTGTTTGGGGATGTGTGTGTGTGTTAAGGAAATGAGAGGACCAAATGATTCCTTAGGTGCATTGAAGACTAATGTTATATATATATCAGCATAGCATAACCCTAAATTCACTCATTAGTTTTGGTATAGATTTTATTTTCCCCGTATGATTTCTTACCAGCTTAATACTATTACTCTAAGTGTTTCTTGGCTGGATGGCCTTTGGCCATTTTAAAATGCCAATGCATCTTTGCAGTGTCCAAAATATAGTCTGAAGCAAGGAAAACTGGAGTGTAGGCATCAAACATTTTATGGCAAAAGCCCAGATCTTCTCTCTAGGTAATAAAAGGAGAGCCAAGTGAAAAACTTCACTGCAGGATCCATGGTTTTCACCCATCTTAGTGTTAATTTTTTTTAATAAAAATATATGTGCGTGTGTGTGTGCACACATGTGTGTATGTATGTGTATATATAAAATATATATATATAAAGCAAATTAACATTCTTTCTGAAAACACTCTTAAAATATATAGTTTTTTTTATATAACAGATGTACATAAAGCAGGCTGCTAGTGAAATCTAAACAGAATGCTGCATGGAAAACTCCCGGAGTGAGACTTAAAAAAAACTCTCCAGTTAATTATATTTAGATCTGCAGCCAAAAATAACCAGACTATAATTATATGGACTGGAGAAAGAGTTGCTGAAGAGACGGCAACAGCAACTGCAGGACTGTCATGAGAATATGGTCATCTGCTTATAGGCACTCTCTGAGCAGCAGTGCTGTTTACTTGAAATGCATTTGAAAGCCCAGTGAGACACTAATCAGTGGATTAAGTTTTCTTATAGCGGTTGACAGATGTCAATCCGGTCGCCCCTCAGAGTGATTACAAGTTGCTTGCAGTAGCAAGCTGCCTTCAGAGTTGTTTTGAAAGGAATTAGGTGCTTCAGCTAATGGGACAAATCAGAGAGTGCTGCACTGGGATAAATACCCTCTGACTCTCGCTTTTATTTATTTGTTGGTTTTTACTTACCTGCAAATAAAGGTGAGCTCTCTACTACATTAACTGGCTGGAACAGATAGGTAGGAGATCAGAATACTGTATAGCTGTAATATGTACAAAAATAGCTGATAATTATTATTTTCCTTTGCTACCTTTGTTACATTTTTTCAACAAAGTAGGATGAAAGCTACCTCTAGCTTAATTCCTCCGAGTCCATGCCAGGCTTTCGGAGCTGCTGCCTGCATTTGGAGCTTTCCAATGTGGATTAAAGTCCACGGACCCGCTCTGCCGCCTTCCGATACCCACAAAGCAGCTTGGTGCTGCTGACAGGCACCCCGCGCGAGGCGGCGGCTGCTGCCGGTCGCCCTAGGACATCTTGCCACCGAGGCAGGTGTTTCAGCATTCGGTTTGCTCGTGTCTAACTCGGAGCACGGTGACCGGTGCCTGCAAGCACCGGGTGCCCGAGCCTGGGACGTGAGCGCGGGGTTGGACACCCTCGTGTAGGTGCTGTTTAAACTGTACCTGGGCCGTCTGTGCTACTCCTGTGTCGGATTTTGCTGGCGAGGGGGTCTCTGTTAGAGAGGATAATGTAATATACTTTCTGCATATCTGAAACAGTATTTAAGTAAACATTCTCATTTCTACATACTTATTGCACTGATTTTTTTTTTTTTTTGTGGTAAACTCCGATAACTTCAGGTCACGGCACCCGTTTGTGCTGGAGCAGTGTTCGACCTTAGCAGACTGACAGCGTTATTTATAAAGGACAGATACATAAATATGAAGTACCTCATGTTGAATGTTATTGTACTGTACCTTTAATGTCACAGTGCAGATCTTGTTGGACTCATGAATGTGTATAATCACATTAAACATACAAATAAAACTGGTTCTTAAATGGCTGTTTCCTGTAGTATCTTTGAAGCTGCAGTTGTGAAGGTCTTTATTTAGCTCCCTCTTTTCCATTGCTGTATGCAGATACCTGTTGAGCTTATGTATTCAGAGATCTCTGGACCCCCAGAGAAGTAAAAGTCTAAGGAAGAAACAGGGAAGAACAATGAAAATGTTAATCGGTTACACTGTAAAAGGGTTGATGATTAAGCTAATAAGCTGGAGTGAATGAATTCATTTATGTGCTTTATGAAAGACCTTGTCTATAGCATTGATATTTTTAGGTATGTGCAGATGAAAGGGTAGGGTCTCTTGTTTACCCTGGCACAAGACACCTGGCATGGGAAGGACCACGGTTTTCACTCTTTGCAGTATCAGAATAAAGAACGAGGCTAGTGCAAAAGGCTGTTCTTTGCTGAAAAGTTAATTTCAGAATATTAATCAATATTTTGGCTATCAGCAGTTTCTCTTCAAGGAGGTTTAAGTGTTCCTATTAAATACTTGCATGGTGACGAAACCAAAGCCCCCCTTTAAGTTGTCCCCCTCCAGCACACCCCAGATCTTACCAGCTGATGCTGCGAGATGCTGGAGCCGCTTCCTGGCTTGGCTTGAGAGGGGTCCTTCAGCCCCTCCGGGCTGCGCCAAGTCCACGTTTATGTTCTCACCAAGCCTCTCCTATAACCTGAAGCCCTGATCCAGCTGAGATCAGTGAGAGTTGTCCTATTAACTTCAATAAAACTGGGGTTTTCTTTTGCAGCATTTGTGTGATTATTCCTTAAAAAAAAAAAAAACACAGAACTGAAACACATTTACTTCAGACATCACACAGTAATGTGACTATCTAAAACATAGGTAGAAACCTTTCTAGTAAATCTTGCCAAAAATCTTGCTCATCAAGAGATTTTTTTATCTGCCTCCAAGGCCTTTCTAAATTCAAATACTAATATGGGATATTTTATCCTCAGCCATAAATCTCAAGGCAGAACAATAAATCTGTATGAGCTTTTATGTAGGTTTTTACATGCTGCATTTTGGAATTCACAGCACACAGGATACAAGCTACAGATAAAGTATTTTTCAAATTAGAAGGTATGTTTAAATCACACTTGGTCTGCTCAGAATGAAGAAGAAATAAAACCAGCTGTTTTGCTTGAAGCCACTGATATTTTGAAAGAGCTTCTTGAAGTTTGCTGCACTTGGGTAGCATTGGAAACGCAGTTGTATTAAGCCTTTAATTGCAGCATGTTAAAATTAACTTTCCAACTGCTTTCTATAGACAGATAGCTGGCCTTTGGGAGACCTCCGTCTCGGCCCAGTGGGGTTCGCATTTGAGCGGATTCTGGCAAATGCAATTTCCTAGATCCCATTTGAAAGCTCCGTAGTCACAGTAAGTGCTGCTCAGGGATCATCAGCCTTTCCAGAACAACCGCGGCCGCTTCCTGTGCTAGCAACAAGCAAGGACTCCCACGAGGAGGTTTCCTCCCTGCGATGCCATGGGTAGGTACAAGGGAGGCGCTTCCATCCCCTCGAGGGGGAAGCACTTCGTGTTACCTCTTGCCAGCAGCTCTGTAGCTCAAGGAGCAACTGAGCAGCCACAGAGAACGGGAGGGCATGAAATGCCATCGCAAGCCCTGGAGCTTGCAGGGAAGCTGCTCTCAGGAGCTGAGCGATGGGAGCACCCTGTGTCGTAGCCCTCTTGCACTTCACTGCTGCGCTGGGAGGATCTCCCGCTTGGCCATTCTTGCTGCTCAGGTCTGAGGTCCTGAGGTGCAGGACTGGCTGGCGAGGGAGGACGGTGCCACCGCCGCTGCTAGCACGCTGTCCCGTGGGCGCTGAGGCCAGCGTGGCAGGAGGAAGCAGCACAGCCGTCTATATGTATTCATGGTAACGTTCCCTAACCCGGTTCCTCCAGGTAATTATACTGAAGAGGGAAAACTAACAGCATCTGTTCACTTATT